ATCGGTCCACTAGCGGCGGAGTTATGCCGTAACACACATAAAAAAAAAATAAAAAAAAAAAAAATAAAAAATAAATATACCGACGAATTGAATACCTCCTTCTTTTGGGAAGTCGGTCAAAAAGCTAATAATTGGTATTATAGTTTGTCTAAATAATATGGGTTGTGTTAAATCAGTCATGAATCTTATCGATTTCCGATTTTTATTCTTATAGAAGTTGGAATCGATAGATTTATAGTTAAAACTTATGAATTAAAAAAACACTGTTTTCTCAAATTAATAATGAGAGTAAATAAATGTTTATTACTACTTCAGCCGTAGGTATTCGAATTGGATTTCGCTATTATTTCTGTCATCGCTAAATTCTCTAATCTGTAATCATTACTAGAATTGTCCTCTAAATTAGTGAATAAGAAAATAATAATTTTAATTGAGTTCGATAATTATTTAAACCGAATATAGATAGTTCAAAATTGTTCGCTATGCGTGTTTGTTTCGTCACTACGATACCTGTCTATTAAGTACGGCATTTGCCTTCATACATATTGAATTCGATACTTCATATGCATCATTTATCAAGCTAATCTATCGTATTTAGGTTTAGGCACACTATAACGAGTGATATAAATGTTTTATTTAAATTAGAGAAACCTTCGAAAGGTTGAAATTTTAGAAAAACCTAAATATTAACCTTTCACGTCTTATACTAGGCGTCTATTCTTAAAAGCTAGCATGTTTGAAGATTTAAAAATCTTTTAAGGTCTTTTTTTGCGAGACAAAAGGCATTGTTATACAGTACGTTATGTGTAGGGTAGGTGCATATGGGTTGTTGCGGGGGGTCGCGGCCCCGTCGGTATCACCCACCCTACTCCCTTCCTGCTAGCTGCTAGCGCTTGTAATCATAATGTTTGACGTAGCGTGTGACGTAAGATAAAAAAATAAATACATCGTACTTTTAGAAATTCAGAAAACTTTATCATTAATGAAATTAAAGTAGTTGCTATTAGGAAAACGGTACAAACAATACAACTTTTTGTTCCAAAATTATCGAACTATATTTTTTTTATAATTTAAGGTGGCAAACGAGCTAGCTGAATCCGCCAAACTGGCGAAGGGACCGCTGCTCATAGACATGCAATTGCGGATGCGTTGCCTACCCTTAATTGACGAGCACATAAAGAAAATATTTCCTCTTCATATGCGTCTTCTGCACCGTGAAATCCATGTGCCCTTCCTATCCTCTTGTTATAAGGAAAAGGGGACAAAGTTGGGTCTTCGGCACACACCTATCAGACGAAACGCGGAATTGCTCCCACTTCACGTCTGTCTTCTGTGTGGTCGTGGTATTTCACCGGGCAAGCGAACCCATTCGTGCGAAAATGTTAAAGCGGGCTCTACTACTATTAAAATATCAATAATTGTAGGCTAATATAAAAAATACTGGCAAGGAATCTCTTTGCTAACCCTAAACTACTCGGTAGTTACAAAAATGGATATTTTAGCTGATTAATCATACCGCTAATTTGCACAGGCGAAAAATCACCGTTACAAAATTTTATCTAAAAAGGCAGACCTCTGCTACTTCTACTATCTCAATGAGAAATATGATAACTGTATGTACACAGTACTGCGGAAACATTTGTAATTAAAACACGATGTCTCTCTCATTATCTCTGAAGAAAGTGAGACAACGATATTTTGGAATAAATGAATTGGTAGAAAAAATACACGGGAAAATGAGGTTGGGTCGAGGTTTAATACAACGCCATCTGTCATTACACCAGAAAAACTTATCACATCCTCTATCGTCTAAATAATTTAGATTAGTTTGACAACTCATTTCAAATTTAGTAGGGATGGTTGTGTAAAATCAGTCATGAATCTTATCGATTTTTGATTTTTATTCTTATAGAAAATGGAATCAATAGATTTATAGTTATAACTTATGAATTAAATAAAAACACTGTTTTCTCAAATTAATAATGAGAGTAAATAAATGTTTATTACTACTACAGCCGTTCGTAATCGAATTGGATTTCGCTATTATTCCTATCATCGCTAAATTCTCTAAACTATAATCAGTACTAGAATTGTCCTATAAATTAGTTAATAAGAAAATAATAATTTTAGTCGAGATCGTTAATTATTTAATCCGAATATCGATAGTTCCAAATTGTTCGCTACACGTGTTTGTTTCGTCACTACGATACCTGTATATTAAGTACGGCATTTGCCTTCATATAAATTGAATTCGATACTTTATATACGTCATTTATCAAACTAATCTATTTTATTTAGACAATATAGTTTTATGTTACTGGCAATAAATAAAATAATAAAATCAAAAAATCCCATTAAAATAATAATACTTTATTGTCATTTCTAACAAGATAATTCGTTTTGCATTATATCCTTAAAATTACAAGACTATCAATAAGTAATACTACATAATAAAACGAAATACAATGTCAAGAGCTATTCGACAATCGCCAGATCTTTACGGTTTTGTCCTCACTGGCTGTGACCAGAGTATTGGACTCCACATCGAGACAAATCCATGTGATAGACCCTGTAAACAAGAACAATAATATAAAATACTAAACAAATACCGTGACATAACAAAAAAATATATTTTAATTACATTGTTTCAAATAAGAATGTCCTCAGGAAAATTTAGAGTCAGTAAGTCGAGGTATTTATTATCGACATATTTATGTGCCCATTCGATGCTTAAAAAGTCAAAAGTCACAATCAAAAATGCAGTTTGCTATGTTATCCTAAGTGGGGAGGGAATTTAATTCTTTGACTGTACCCAGGAAAAATTGCAGGTAGATTACCAGTATGAGCGTGTATTTGCTGCAGCTGCGCGACGGCGAGCATGTCCCACAGCATGAGGTGTCCGGCGCGGTCGCCCAGCCACAGCGCGCGGCCGCCCGCCGCCTCCCAGCGCAGCGCCGTCGCCGCACACCGCAGCTGCTTGTGGTACACCTGCAGACACAGGGGGAGACAACACTATTATTCCCCCTATATAACTTTAAACTGTCGTGGTTTTTACAAATATAATGTTCCTAAGATACGGGTTTCTTACCACGATTGAATTGTTTTAGCTGAACTGCAATATTACAAAAGGTGACGTATCTTGTGATCAAAATATAAAAGCACTAGCTTTGGTCCGCGTGGAATAAAAATAAAAGTGTGTATGCCTATATGTTCTTCCAGACTATCCTCTACATCTATACCAAATTTAATCGAAATCCGTTTAGTCGTTTAGGCTACAAACTCTGACAAACATCCATCCATTTGAACTTTTGCATTTATAATATGATAAGTATGATTTGAACCTACCTATTTAACATTTTTGGAGTCTTTAGGAGCGACTAACTGTCCTAATTACTTTGCCTTCTACATAAAAATGTCTAAAAAATCTTACCGAGTGGTAAACTCCTAGATCAGTGACATACAAGTGTCCATCGTCAGTGGAGGTGACGATCCTGTCCCCGGACAGTACGAGGGAGAGTGCGGCGAGGGGCGCGGCGTGCACGCGCACCTTGCTGCTCAGCTGCCGCCGCCGCAGCTCCCAGATGAACACCTCGCCCTCCACGCTGCCCGCCAGCACATCCAACTCTGCGCCACGGTATCTGGCATAGTTTCAAAACTTTTCAATAGATGGCGTTGGAAAACATACTCGTATTTTCAATAGATGGCGCTATTCTTAAAAATAATTGTAGTATTTTGAACAATAGCGCCATCTATCGTTCGCTATTCTTAAAAAAATAATAGAATTAAATGTTTTCCATCTTACTAATATTATAAATGCCAAAGTTTAGATGGATGGATGGATGGATGGATGGATGTTTATTAGAGTTTTTAGTCTAAACGGCTGAAGGGATTCTGATGAAATTTGGCATAGAATAGTCTAGAAGAACACATAGGCTACACTACTTTTTTATTTACACGCGGACGGTGTCGCGGGCAAAAGCTAGTAGTCAATAAATAGGAAAATAATTATTAAATTCTTAGTAAAGTTAATTCTGAGGTTAAAATAATGTATGTAGAGAGATTTTTTTTGGTTTACGTTCATACCTGTATGTGAGTGTGGTGATCTTCCCATCATGGTCTAATTCCGCCTGCAGTCCGCGCAGCGCCTGCCCCGTCTTGCCCACGTTGCCCCACACGCGCACCACGCCGTCCCATCCACCGGATATCAATAAATGTTCTAAAACAACAAATAAAATATTAATTTTATTAATAACTAGCTGTTGCTCGGGACTTCGTTCACGTAAAATTCAAAAATAAGACCTTTGTTACTCATCGATAACTTAGCTTTTAAACAGTGAAAGTATTTTTGAAATCGGCCCTGTAATTTTTGAGTTATTTCTATACATACAAAAATACAAACCTTTCCTTTTTACAATATTGGTATAGAATACCTATAACGTAGATTGTCAGAACTAAATAGCTCATACCTTTAGTAATCCAGAGTAAACAGCTGACAGAATCGTCGTGCGCCCGAAAACTCTCTACAACCCTTCCATATTCTACATTGTATAAATATCTGAAAGGAAAATGTATGTTTGTATCAGCTTATCTCATTAACTACTGATCGGAGTTAAAAATGTCTTTTTACTTGTGATAAAACAATTATTAAAGAAGGTTATAAGCTATTTAACATCACGCTTTGACCTTTGGAGGTGGGACAGGAAGAAAAAAACGTTATCGAGAAGGATATATGGAACTAAATATACAAAATATATGAAAAAACTTACATTTCATTATCCCACGAGCCAGCAGCGACGGTATTATCATCCACCATCACACAACAACTCAGCGGCGTAGAACACAACACTACACTTCGCATCTGCTTGCCTTGCGACAAATCGTACACTTTCAACGCTCCATCTTTACCCACAGATATAATTTTATTTCCTACACGAGCTACGGAAGTCACAGCCTCTTTATGCAACTTTATTGTTTCTATACATTCTATTCTCTGTGGTGTTTCATCGACATGAGACAACGGTATTTGTATACTCTGTGTCACTTTTCTGACGTGTGGCTTTGTGAACAACTGCTTAGGCACTTGACCAAACTCCATTATCTGTACTTCTAGCGCATGTCTGTCGTTCATGTCGTACACACATTCTAGATCTACGGAACCCTCGTAGCATACGTGATGGAATACTGTAATAGAGAACTTTAATGTATATGCCATTTTTTTTCAATGTTTTATACTTGTTTTCGCCTGCGACTTCGTCCGCGTGGAATTAAAAAAACACAAAAGTGAGTAGCTTATGTTTCTTCCAGACTATCCTATACATCTATGCCATATTTCATCGTAATGTGTTTAGCCGTTTAGGCTACAAACTCTAACAAACATCCATCCATCTATACTTTCACATTTATAATATTCGTTAGATAAGTTGTGTAAAATATAAAATTAGCTTTTACCTGCGACTTTTCTAAACGTATTTAAATAAAGTATATTAAATATAGATTATGTTTTAGTTACGTTTAAAAGTTTTTGAATTTATTAACTTAAAAAATACAAATCTTTATAAATCAGCCTAGATTAATAGAAGAATGAAGTCCAAAATCATTTGAAAACAACAAAAAATACTTGAAATGGTGTCTTAAAAATTACTTACCATTATTAGCTTTCACAGCTTCTTCGCCTCTTTGTTTGTAGCCGAAAATGAGATCGATCCATAAATGTAAATGTCTAGATACATAATCTGATTCGAGAGCGTCGCGTAGTATTGACACGAAGTCCTGTGGCGCGGCGGCCCAGCGCGGCAGCGACACGTCCTGCACTACAGAGCCGTCGTGTCGCTCCCCAAAGTCTATCTCAAATTTATTCACTAAGAAATCACCCTTATCACTTGTATCATAGAATTCTGGCACTAGTTCCTAAAAATATTATTAACACAGCTTCAAGCAATTGTTAAAATAATACTTTAACGGGAACACACATCCCAGTTATTGATGTCTGTACACATAAAAAAAAACCATAACAAAAATGAAATTTTTCAAAAATACTTCAACCAATTTACAACTTCCGCATAAAAAATAACGAAGAATCATATAAATCTGATTTGAAAAAAAGCTCGTTCTTTTTTTTTATTTTCAGTTTTTTTTTATTTTGTAAGTCCCCATTCCCAAGTATGCCAGCTCCTAGCATGTGTATCCCGCCTTTATACGTATATTGCAATAGGACTTATTTTCCTACCTTAAAATCGGACATGTTTCTTAAACAATTATTGTAGACATCTTTTACAGAATTAAACATTCTATCCGGATGGTCAAATTTCCCGTTCTGTAGACACAACATGTATCTAGGATATTTTCTAACCTGTAAAACACATTTAAAACTACTTTATATTAAAAAAAAAACACAAAAATATAAAAAATACCACTATTGAAACATTTTTTTAATCTTGCTAATATTATAAATGCGAAAGTTTAAATGGATGGATGGATGTTTGTAAAAGTTTGTAGCCTAAACGGCTGAAATGATTTTGATGAAGTTTGGAGATGCAGAGGATAGTCTGGAAGAAGACATAGGCATCTTACTTTTTTTATTTCCACGCGAACGGAGTCGCAGGCGAAAACTAGTAAAGGCATGTTTCGTAAACTTACAAGATAAAATAACACAAGTCCGGGCGCTGAATAATGTGATCCATATAAAAACTTTGGGTCACTCATTTCATTGTATCTCTCTTTTAATTTATCCAAACGTTCGGGGTTCAATGCACCCATTGGCTTGGACAAGTCACGGAAAATATCCGCATTGGTCAAGTCCAATTTCTCTGATGTATAATCAGCAACCACCCAAGGGAACACTGGATATTGTGTTAGATCATTTTTACTTCGATCTGCAAGACTAAAATAATATTTTAGTCTCAAAGAAATTCAACATTTTTCAACAATAGCGAAAATAACAAATTACATAAGATAGCAGTAGCAGGTAGTAAAATTACCTATTTTTATGTACTTAGATATAATCTAGTTAATCTAGTTAAGTCATGATTATTTAAATATTTATTTAATTTACTAAGCAAGCAACTGACATTTTAAATTAAACCAAAACATTTAGGTTTAAAACATTATTCAAAACATTTAAAACTTTTTTCGCCGAATCACGTAGTTGGATAAGGCAAGGGAGATATCATTGGTTAATATTTAATTTATAAAAGAGCATTTACTATAAAAAAATATATATAACCCACCAGTTAAGATACATCAAATAATCATAATTAGAGACAATTCCATTTTGCCACTGCAGCGTCATCTCTTCAACATGCTGTCGTTCTAGTTTCACATTTGGAGATTGTTCTAGAATTTCATATATCCTATCTCTGTGCTTCTCCGATGGAAATGTAAGATAAATATGTGACATTGATTTTTCTTCCCCGCCATATATTTCAAGACCCTAAAAACAAAAGCAGTTTTGAATTTAAGTTTTTAATTATGTAAAAATTTTTATTTCTTGCAACACTGAACTTTAACACAAGCTTGGGCAGCACAAATTGGTATTAGCAATTAAAATATAATTAGCATAAGACGACCTGTACAAAAACAGTCATTGAACTCATGCTATATGATATAACTAATTCACATATTTATGTTTTTGTACAGGTAACTTAAATTTAACAAAACAAATTGCAAAATAAATACAGACACAAAAAAATGAATTGAAAAACTCAAGCTAAGCCATATTAGTACAGTCATGCAGTACTAAAAATGTCTGTTGCACAAATACAAAACATTCAAACGAAATTAGGCATAATTATTATTTCTACAATATATCAACACTTGTACTTTATACTACAAATTAAAACTGAAACACTAAAAATTATGTTAAACTAGAAAATACATAGAAATAACATTGAGTAGTGTGATACATACAACTTGCCTTAGTAAAAATCTTCTTTTGTACATTTTCCTCATCTCATCCAACTTCAGTTTAAATATTGGACTCTGTGAAACATCGATTTTACAATTAAATTATATTTCATGTATAATTAAAATTTTTGAAGGATCATATATTAATTAGAAATACTACATGTATATATACAAGAGCTCGATGTGACACAGCCTTATAAAATAAAAAAAAAACTTAATTAAGTTCTAAGAGTGTTTGGAACTAGCTAGTACTTACATAAAGTACTTGGTAAGTGAGCCGTAATTTCTAATTACTATGTGTCGCAATATCTATACTAATATTATAAAGTGGAAAGATTTGTGTTTTTGTATGTATTGAAATAACTCAAAAACTATTGGGCCGATTTTAAATATTCTTAAACTGTTGGAAAGGTAATTTATATGTGAGTAACATAGGCTATATTTATTATTCTTTAATACCACGCTGGCGAAGTCGCGAGCAACAACTAGTTTTTAATAAGTTAACTGCTAAGACTAGTAAAAATTTATGTTTAAAAAAATTTCTTACACATTCAATATTACTAAAAGGTTGGAAGTATAAAGTAGTTGGAGTCAATGCTAATTTTCCTTGATGTCTCACAAGTGGTGATATTTTTTCAGCTTGCATTTCACATATGATCTCCTCGGTGAAGTCATCCATCATAACAGGGTCAAACAGCATCCTCATATAGCGGGAATGTAATATTGTCGCCACCATACTGTTATGTTCTGGTGCATGTAATGTAGAAGCTCTCTGTAATTGTTGCATTTGACTCAAACACTCTTCCGCAGATGCAAAATCAAAGAAGAAATAGAAATCTTGTTTTTCATATTTAAATTTATAAGGTGCAATTATATTTTCCTCTAACATTTCTGAATATTGTTTTATTGTCAATTTGATCACATTTTTTGTATCACTTTCATGTGTTTGCTCAACAATGCTAATATCTGTGCAATCTTTAAAATGTAATTTTGTAAGAGGATGAGCCCATTCTATTGGTTCAAATACAAGGGATTTAGAACAAAGTTTCAGATGACCAGTTCTAATGTTGCCTGCTGTTCTTGAGTTTTGAGTGTTCATTATACATGAGAAATCTTCAAAGTAAATCTCACCAGGTTCCAGCACTAACATAGAAAATCTGTAAGAAATTGTTTAAGAAGATTAGAAAGATTGTGCACAGAACAATAGAATAAGCTAATGTTAATTGATAATAGGACACAATTAGGCGAGATATTATATTAGTTCTAAAACTGTCCATTAAATTAATTTTAAATAATTTGTATGTGTTTTCCTAATACATCTCTGTGTAAATAAGAGTGATCAACATGGATTTTTCAAGTTGACTTATTAATAAAAACCACCAGCCCTTTTAAACTTGAATTATTTTACATTTTGTACTTATTTTGTACTGGGTTTTGTAACTAAATAACTCGCTATGAATCGTGATCGTAGCTATCTTAAGATCTAGATTAAGAAATACGGCTTACCTTGACTTATTCATTGTGTATTATTTACAATGTTATCAATCTAAAGTTGTAACCGGGTGTTCAATGCACAAGTAAAATTTTATAACACTATCCAAACAAGGCCATAAAAATATAATTATCTTTTTCATTACTTTCTGATATCTACGACACGATTTTCGAAATGCATCAAATTGGAAGAACAAAGAAATGGACGGATACAGCAATATGCAACAAAATAAAGCAATTCGAATACACACAAAAAATTATGACACTGTCAGTTGTCAGTTTTCACTCCAGCTGATACTGTCAACGTGAAGTTGACAGTTTAATGTTAATGTAGGTGATTTATATGTTACCTATTACATAGGATTTAGAACTGAGAAAAGTGCAATCCTTTTTTAAAAATTGAACAGCTTCTACAAAATTAATTTCTATATAATCTCATCGTTTCTTAAAAATTAAACGTTGTTATTTTAAAATGTAACGACTTTAAAAGCTTTAAAAACCAAAATAGAAAAGAACCATAGACAAAGACGGTTGGAGATTGAAGTGTGGCGTTACGAAGGCGCCATTTTTAAATCTAATTTTAAAGAGTGGAAGAAATTATAATTGTAATTAATTATGCAAGAAGATAAAAATGCCATTTTTCAAATGCGATTTCCTCATAAATTGTGGTTCCTGCTTAATATGCGCACTGATGCAATATTGTGGGGTGGTAGTGGTAGAACTATCCTCCTAAATTATAGAATACTACACACTTATCTACAATGCGATAACTCTATATTTAAAACAACGAACATTTCAAGTTTTGTTAGACAACTTAACTTGTATGGTTTTCGAAAAGTTACTTCGCATCTACAAGACCCACTTTGTAATTCAAGTAATCCTTACATGCACGAGTATATTCACGACTTCTTTCAATATGGCAGGCCTGAATTATTAAATAAAATTACAAGAAAAGCGCTGACATTAAAACGAAATTCAAAACCCAAGGTATAACTATTGTTGTACCCATTTAAATCTAGAAATATTTTCTCATCAACATCTCTAATATTCCTTTTGTTCTTATTAGAATATATTTAATTGCACTGACCAAAGTGCGTTCATAACTCCGCTACAAAAAGCGCGACGAGCACTAAGAATCGCTCTGAAGAAAGCTGCACAAGAACTTTTCATGCAAAGCTCGCCTAAACAATTTAATCTGACTAATGACTTTGAAGGTATAGAATCTTTAATTATTTTTTAGCAAATTCATGATCTGATCATAAGTATTTTTTAAGACATTTTATTTTATTTATTAGTACAAAAGTGACCTGAAAGTCACCTCTGTCTTGTTAAGATTATTAAAAAGAACCTTTTCTATGTGCTGTAACAGTCACCTTACAAACCAGACCATAAAATCTCACATATAAAAATGTATCTTACCATAAACAATATGTTTTTTAGATGTACAAGATGATTTTGGTGATGATGACAGCATTTCTGGAGACTGGTTAATACCCAACAGTGAAAACAATAATGTTCATAAAGAACAAAATTTACCAGGTTTTTATCCTTTATCCCATCCTGCAATAATTCTTATTTACCTACTATTTTTTTTCCATTACAAATTTATTCCTAAAAAACTATTCCATCTCATCCTTTAGTCCTATCCGCTGAAAAACCTCAGGAAAATTATATTAATGCTGGTGATGGATTCCAGAACTTTGGGTAAGTTTTTAATTACACATTACTTATGTAAAAGTTGTTTTTCTTATAGACAAGCTGTTCTCATAGCTAACAATTACCATTACCGTGACAATTTTGCTTTACTGCTGTTGGCTTGTAGTTTTTGGCCCTTCCCAGCGTGATTTTTTTCCAATTTATTCACCCTTAAATTAAACAGCAAAAAATATAATGGCCTATATCATGTAAGTATAGTATTTTTATAAAAAAATATGCAAAAATATGTTGTTATTGCCGACATCCTACATAACAAAGTGTTTAATTTTATTATATTGGTATTGGTTAACCTTTACAGAGATAAGTCGCAAGATACATTGTTGGGTTTTAGTGATGACTCATGTCAACAGAATGTTGATAGTTTCCCTGGACAGTTTCTGAATATGCCTGATCTGGATCCTGTACCATCGGAAAGTTCTGGAGTTGAGCTGTTAGCTGAATTCAATATAGTCAATGAGAATAGACATGATATTGAAAGGAAAATGGAATCAAAACCAATTGATCACCAATTCTTAAATTGTGTGCTTCCTTCCATTAGTAATGATCAAAATGATGATGTATCTATGACTGAGGTGAGTTTGGATGAAATAATAACTTTTTTCTAGAAAGAAACAATTATGAAGTTCTTTATAAACTTTTTTCAGAGACATGATGAAAATATGACTCACTATCACAGTGAATGGGACCAAATGTTTAATGATATTATCATCAACAAGAATTCCGCTCCAGAGTCTTCCTCTAACTTGAAAGAATTATACACTCAAATATCACAAACTATCCATTTGTAAATATTGCATTTGTCTTACATTTAATGATATAATTTAGAAAAAATGTTATGTTAATTTTGCACCCTTAAAAAGTTTTTTAAAGCGGTCCTTTGTGACTACATATGAAATCACAATGAAATTCATCAAAAATATATTTTTAAGCCATAACTTCCTTTATTTGTGAAAACATAAAAATACAGTGTTATTACTACTTCTTCTGCTTTTTCTTTTCTGCCTCCTCCTCTTTTTCTTTTTCAATAACTGAGACATATGAGTTGATAGTGTCAATGTCGAGCATCTGCATTAACTGGTTACGTCTCATTACCGCAATCTCCAAGTTCTTTTGTCCTGATTGTACAACTTCAAGAAGAGCTCGGATGGCAAGCTACAATAGTTTAAATTTCAAGTCAATAATCAAAAATCAATCTATTTGGTTACATTGATTACCATGTTTAATAAAATAAATATATTTATTTATAACATGGTAAGAAGGTTAAGAATTTGGTAACTAAATATGTTTAAAACATACAATTTGTGAATTGAAGATTTAATTCAATAATGAATAATGCAAATCCATTGGAATGCATTTTACATACCTTGACTGCACCTTTTTCTGTAGCAACTTCCTCTGCATTGTAATTTTTTTCCAAAAACTCTCTTACAGTCTTAGCTGATCTCCCTGTGGCATTAGCTTTCCATTCATAATAGATTCCAGATGGTTCCGTTTGGAATAAATGAGGTTGTCCGTCGTAATCAAAACCACCAATAAGGCACGAAATACCGAAAGGTCTACGTCCGTTGCTTTGAGTATATTTTTGTTTAAGACCAGCAATATATCTGGTGATATATTCTAATGTAACAGGATCTTCAACAGTGAGTTTGTGAGATTGACATTCGATTTGTGCTCTATTAATAAGAATACGAGCGTCGGCCGTCAAGCCGGCAAAGGCCATTACTACATGTTCGTCGAGCAGACAAATCTTACGCACAGTTCTTTCTTCTTGAAGTTTGGCGACAGATTTCTTCTCAACCCCTAAAACAACGACATCGTTACCGCGAACACCTACCTGAAATAATTTTTTGTTTAGAATTGTAACAAATGGGCAAGTCACCACCTTGTGTAGCAAAACTTACCGCTGTTGATCCCTTGCGAACAGCTTCTTGCGCATATTCTACTTGCAATAAATGACCGTCTGGCGAAAATACGGTGATGGCCCTGTCATATCTTGCAGACATGTTGAAATTTTAGTTATAAACTATTATAAAAATAATTAGTAGAGAATTGAACAATACTTAAGATCACGGTAAGCATCAAATTGACAAATCAGAAACAGAAATGATGCCGATTCATTTCTGTCAAACTTCATACCACATAGAATATAACACCATTATACAGATGAAAAGCTTAGCATGATGTTCGTAAAATAAGTAAAATCGTAATAGTTCTGACCCAATTTCCAAAAAATCTTTTTAAATAAGCTGAGATAGAATAATGAAAAGCTGAGACCAGAGCCCGCTTGTCTCGATACTTTAAAACTCTACAATCTAAATTCCTAACTTAAATACATACAAATATACAATTTGTATTAATCAACACTTCATCAAAAAATATTTCGTTAGTTTACAAAACAAGTAACAAAAGTTAGAAAGAATTTAAGAAAAATTACAGTTTCGAATAATATGGAGAAAAATATCCAAAAGGAATCATGGAATAGAACTGTCAATCTGTCAAATAGAAAATAGACAATATGGCGGCTTCAGTGAGTGAATTTGAGCCGTGGTTAAGTGCGAAGTTAAAATCGTTGAAAACTGATGAAGGAGTTTTCGGAAACTATATATCTGGTATATTAGAAAGCGAGGATTCTATCGATGAAAAGAAAGATGCCCTGGAGGGTATACTTTCCGAAATTTTGGTAAGTTTAAATAGCGGTTGGAACATGCATAGAAATTTAAGTTTCCTTAATTTCTTCAAAAATTTAACAGGAGAGTAATATAACAGAGCATATTAATGAGATAATAGAGAAATGGGAGTCATGCAAGCCTAAAGAAGTATTAAAACCTGTGGCTGATGTAGATCTTCAATTAGCTAAGCTGTTAGAATCTCAGTCACTTGCAACAACTACACGGCGAGAATATACCGATGAAGAGAAGAAAATACGAGAAGCAATTTTATCTCAATATAGTCAGCTTTCAGACAATGAGGTAACTAATGTCATACTACCATTGCAGAATATATATTCAGTACTTCATATATCATTTGTTATATTGCCCTGTTTCAGGAAGATCAGTGCAATGCTGAAGAACCGGAAAGCTCTGACTTGGTGAAGAACACAAATGCTTTAGATGTTGCTGCGGCTGCTAAAGAGAGAAGGGAACAAGCCAGACTTGAGGCCCAGCGTAAAAAGGAGAAAGATAGAGAAGACAGGTGAGAATTACATAATTGGTGGTATTTGTAATAATTACTTTACAAATAGTTTCCAGTGACACTGTGCGGACTAAAAAAGGGACAAACATTCATCAATCTAAACATTCACATTAATATTAGTAAGATAACTGCCGATGCAATAATGAGTTATTTATCTTTGCAGGGAAAAACAGAAACAGCTTAAAGAAGAAAAGAAAGAAAAGCGTAAGACACAAAAAGGTGAAAGGAAGAGGTAGCAATCGAAAAATGCAAAATAAAGAGCTTTGTTGCTCATTACTATTATATGAAATGCTGTTAAAGTATCCTAGATAACACAGACTTCAAATGTTATTTTCAATATTGTTTTCTTGTTTTTCAAGTCAATGCAAAACCAATTTTGGTAACATAAACCTCTTTTTAGTATTATACAAGGTTGAATTGAATTTTTTCAACTAATAGTCATAAAATACACTGTAGAGGCTATATTGTATTGATGGATTTTTGATTATTCTAAAAATTTAAACTAACTTATAGGTTTCAACATTTTATTATAAATAGAATAAACCCACTATATTTCCACAATTATAAATATAAATCTCAGTAAAATATCATTAATCATAATCATAAATGCATATTAGTAATTTGATACTAAAGAAATCTAGAAAAAGTATCAAAATTGTAAACTGTATAAGTTAACTTGAGACTGGTGGAAAGTAACCCCCTTTCTAAGCCAGCATTGGCTTTATGATGTCATTTCTATTTAGATTCCAATTGTAATACTATATGTTCCTGACCAGCATCATTTGTATGAAATTATATAAACTTTAATTGTTTGAATTTGTAAAACTTCCAAATGCAAATGTCAAAATTCAAATGCACAAATAACAACAAAGGTGTTTGCCATTTGCTAACAATGACTTTCTATAGCTATCTTGCTTCTGTTATTGGCTTGTAGTTTTTGTTCTTTACCTGCCTGATACTTTTTACGATTTCTTCATCCCTAAATTAAATAGTGTGAAACATATAGCCTATAGACTATTGTACATTTTATTTATATTAAAGCAATATTAAAAAGTATGCTGAGATTATGGACATCTTACATAAAGAAGTGTGTGTTTACGCTTTATAATATTCTCTATTGCTAACTCTGTATATGTTAAAAGATTATTTTGAATGACTACAGCCTAGGTCTCTAGTTAATTCATATGGGTTATACAGTTGGATACCAAGTATTACTTTTTATTTTACATTACATTACATTTTATTTTTATTACTATTTTCACATTACGCACATATTAATGTCTATTTAATAGAAACAATGTCATCATTATTTGATGATATTTAAGAGAGCTTAGACATTTTTGATAATAATATTCTTGCACTAGATTCTGTTTATATAGAAAACTACTTGGTTCATTGTAACTAGAATTTAATATAGTCTAGGATATTTTAAAGGCACATTTTATTAAAGTCATTATGTAATCCTTTTAGGATAGTTTTGCTATAAGTGTCATAAATTGATAATTTTATTTTGATACCTTAATTTTATGGTTTGTTGAAATTTGTATTGTTTTTGTCATAAATGTAGTGAATACAGTTTGAGTTAAACATATAACAGAGTGAATAGCACATACCAAGATTTGTAATGGTTTTTACATTTTAAAAATGTGAAGTATGTTGGTGCTAGCTTGTATATTTTTTGTTAAATATCTGTTTTACAAAATTCATATAAAAATGACTAATAAACGACAAATTTATTTGATAATTTGAGCACTTTCACATTCAGTGTTGGACTATCATGGAAGATTAGCTTTCGTACATAGAGATATTGTGTTTTGGTGTTTTTTTTATTCTAAATGACGAAAACAGGCTCATAAAAGATAATTTTGCTAACACAGCCCCTTCAATACCTCCTTGTTCTGGGACAAATGGCGACCTTCGATTCTAATTGAGGCAAGGCAATGTACACATTTTATTGCATATTACATGTAATGTAAATGGCATGATATAAAATATGTATCCCTTGTTTCTGAATTGATAACCAATAAATACATTTATCACAATAAAGCTTTTATTTATTGACTATTTAGCTTTTTAAAAAGCTATTTGGATGAGTTTATGTAGTAATTTAAAAATATATTATTCACAAATGTTTGAATATTTTCTTCATAGATACATAAAACAAAAAAAAATTAAGTAACAAATGATACTTGTCTCATATTGCAGCTACTTAAAAGAATAGTTACTCTTCATAATTTTTCTCTTGGGTTACTATAAAATTATGGGCACCTCCTGCATAGATTTGTATTACTTCATTTCCATCATAATCAAAGGGAACTAAAGTCGGAGAAGGTATGACTGGATCTAAAGAGATGCCTGTGTTTGCATGCTCATTCCAACCCCATGCCCATATGGTATTGTCACCTGCCAAGCATATTGTATGCTCTGAACCTAAGGCTACGTCTTTTACTCCTCTATTACCTGGAATTATTATGTTTCAGTATTAGACCTTTTGATTTTGAATATTTACCAAAAAATCATTCTGACAACCTATAACAGAAATTTATAGAGCATAGACTGCTAGTACTTGCTTAGCGTGAGCCCAGGATTCAAATTTATGGTTGTGGGCCAATTCATCAAGAATTCACCAAGTAAGTGCAAGCTGAGCGATTTTTGCTATTTGTACACTTCAATTCAAATTATAATATTAGTAAGAAAGCTCTATTGATTACTTAGGTTTGCCATCTTGTTAATACTGTACAAGAGTTAATAATTAAAGGTAAAAAAATTGTTCATCTACCTGGGAGTTTTAAAGTAATTAATTTTCCTGTAAATGGCTCATCAGTACCAAGCTGGTAAAAATTATTACGACCCCATGTAAGCATTGTATCATCTTCAAGCAATAGCAGTATGTTTGTCCATCCACTTAATAACTTCCTGACTTTCTTTTTCACACCTATTTCTACTTTTTGTGGCTCATAAACATTTCTTAGCCACAGTTTTTGACTGCAACGCAGTAATAACTGACCATGTTTATTATCACCCCATACATATAAAGCATTTTCTTTAGAAGACCAAGTAACTGTATGATTTTGTCCACATGAAATGTGAGTTATTTTACCAACATTTAAAACTTTTTGAAATCTATCTGAAATTAGTACATCCTTTCCGAGACCCAGTTGTCCATGTTTCCCACAGCCAGTGACCCAAACTTCACCTTTAGAATTAACAATAGCAGTGTGCCTTAAACCCATTGAAATGGAACATGCATTGACTTGTAACCTAAATGGTTTCTGGAGTTCGGAAAATTGTGGTTTGGGCAGTCCCAATTGTCCATTGTTATTTGAGCCCCAGACAAATAAAAAGTTATCATCAGAGACAGCACCACTAAAGTCCCATCCTGTTGTTATATTTGTGAATTTGATACCGCTGAGACACCACACTCTTTTAAATGTTGCCGATTCTTTTAAATTTTCATTAATCGCTAATTGTTTGTTTAAATTCCATCCACATGAGTAAAGTTTACCTTCGTTGTCTAAAAGAAGAGTATGGCCACCACCACATGATATTTGTTTTACGTTGTTACACGACTCTGGTAGGACAATCTTTGTTGGTTTTTCTACTTGTTCGCTAATGGTTTCAGCGCCTAGTTGACCGTGCGAGTTTGCTCCCTGTAATTTTATGTATAACAAGTACTATTTTATTATAAAGCAAGGAAAACAACAAATTTTACGTGTATTTACCCAAGACCACAATTTCATTTTTATATAGTTTTAAATTTAAAATTACTCCTCAGTCCTATGATATCATTATTAAAGTAATATTGAAATATTTGATTATTACGATATAATGTTTTATTTGTTGATATGAACATGTCGCTGACATTGACATGCTTTGACATTTGATATGATGTCAATGACTTTGACATCATATCAAATGTCAAACCCCCGTTCAGGAACCCTCAGGAGTTATTTCTAAGAAGGATGGTATTTACTTTATACTTCGGATAATTTCTATTTTTATTACGTTTTAATTATTAGGTTAGGCGTCAAATTAAACACAGCTACATATTTTAGTTATTACAGTTATTTCATAGTTCGATGATAAACACAATCTTAAAAATAATTAACGTAAACTCTTAACTTTTGAAAAAAAATAGGAAATTAACACGGTCATCGTTAATTAGGCAAACATTAGTCTCCAGAACTCCTTACATGCTGATAATAACTGACGCCTTTGAAATTCAACTGTACCAGGAAAGCACATATCCGTTGCCAATGTTGGAATTAGATACACTTCGTTTACAAACGCCCTCTATACGATTTAATTCAGGAAAGCTGTATGAGATAGACATTCAACGCAATAATGTAGCAAAGTTCGGTTATAGTATAGGTAAATTGCGTTTCTACATAACTCTGGTGTCAGAGATTGCTTTCTAATGAATTTTAATTTCTGTCCTTCCTGGTATGTGTACTTACGATATCTCGACACGTATGCCCCGTAGAGTATTCGCTTCAGGGCACATGGCGGTAATGTGGCGTGACGGCATGGCGCTGCATAATTTCTCGTCATAATTGCTTGCAACGACGAGCAGTTGCTCGTTAACGCAATAGAGTCGTCCGATTATTAAAGGAAGTTAATTATACTAATATCGATATTATAATTAAGATAAAAAATAAAACATTATTATTTTTATTAATTGATTAGGACTGCCAAAAGTGTCTTCGTTTTCGATCTCGAAATACCTAGATGTCAAAAGTTAAATATAATCTGAACTATCTATCGACATAATAAAATTATCATATTCACCAGAGAATAACCCTTTAATACTATACTGCCAATTTTGTAGTAAATACAGTTAATTTGTTTCACACTTATCGAAGTTAAATATCTACAGTTAAGTACCTAATTTATGAATCTGCATTATTGTAATAATAGAATCGTGCTTAGCATTGTAGTAATAATAAAATCGTATGCCTTAACCTCTTGATATAAAATCTGAAAAAGGAAATTAGACTTTGAAAAAAAAAAAACATTATTCACTAGTTTGTTCCGTAAAATCTCAAAAACTTATTACACGGGGAAGGGAATGGACTATACTGTCCATTTGTTAAGTTCTCAGATAGAAAGAAATGTTCTTTTTATACCTTAGATTCCACTTTATTTATTGTATTATAAAAAAAAATCTTTAAGAAATACAATAGGTAATGTGACAAAGTTTTACCCGTGAAGATAACACGTATGTTACACGAAGAACTTTCTTGGTTATCTATGTGTAAATATCTGTCTTTGAGTACAAGTTACTAACGAGTTTAATTTAACATTGTTTTGTTCTATCAAACGGGGAGTTGTTTTCTTAAAAAGGATCCTTCATATAAAAACATAAAGGAATTTTTCGAAAGAAGTCGAGCTATTTTAATAAAAATTAGAATAGCTCGACTTGTTCTAGTTTAAATCTTCAATTTAAAAATTAGCCTTAAATTGCTTTTTATGATATTAATGGTCGACAACGCTTCTTTAGTTCCTGTAGTTTATGGACCATCCATATCTATGGCTATGGCAGGTTGAGGTTATAATAAAAAGAACAAAGTAAATTTCGAAAAAAGAATACAATATTAGATGTTGCTTGAAAATAAAAAGTCAACGCCCTCACCAGACATGTTTTATTTAAAGGCCGTGCCTGAAGGTTGTGTAATATTTAGCGAGCATAGTGCGATGGCTCGGCAGGCACGCTACTCTTAAATTTTTTAAATGGCTACATCGCAAAAAACACCTTTTACTGCACCCTTTTTGTTCCTTTTGTCTTTTTTCTATTTTTTACGTAACCTTTTTTATGTAATTTATGTAAAACAAACTTTTAACTACGATCTATAATGTTATTTCGCAGCTACGTATATACATTTTTACATTACAAACGATTTAACTTGAAAAGATAAGTTTAAAAAGTGAAATACATTTTTTAAAATTAAGTATTGTTCAAAATAGACTTTTCCCCCAATAGCTTTACTTTTGTGAATAGAATCATTACATTCGCTGTCAGGTCTGAGGATAACATGACGCATACAAATTACATTACGTACCAATGTGCACATATCGGAAACCTCCAGGCAAATGCAATGTCAGATGGCTCGAAATATCAAATCGCATGATATGAGTTTTCTTCCACGAATGGGTTCTTTATTCGTAATAATAGAAAATATTTTCGCGAATTTAAAATTTTATATTACGGCTTACATTAAAAGAACTATTATTTTAATCCATATAAGTGTTAAAAAGGTTATTTTCAACGAATGCATGTGTAAAATTATATTTGTCAAAAGTTTTACGAAATAACAAATGAACGGTTATAACGGCAACCGTTTTTAATGGAATAGAAATTAGCTTTTGTATTGATTATTGGATTTTCTGCCGGATTAATGAGTAACAAGTTCTACAAACGCTGTTCGCTGTGCATAAAGCGCGGGAATGACTTGTCTAATGCGCGCCATTAAGTCCGGTAATGACTACATTAAGCAAAAACGTTCCGCAGACCTACTGCTAAAGGCTTACAGGAAATCCTTCTATGTAGAGGCTAACATCAATTTCCTCTACGGATTTCCACGATATTGTAAACAATTCTGACTCATAAATTATTTCTGTTCAACATTATTTGCTTAATATACACAATTTACGAGGAAAGTAATCATACTAATATTATAAATGTGAAAGTTTAGATGGATGGATGTTTGTTAGAGTTTGTAGCACAGATAGGCTACTCACTTATGTTTTTAGTTTTAATTTCACGTTCTGTTCTTCCAGACTTTCCTATACATCTATGCCAAATTTAATCGTAATTCGTTCAGCTGTTTAGGCTACAAACTCTAACATCCATCCATCCATCCATCCATCTAAACTTTCGCTTTTATAACATTAGTATGAAGTATGATTTCACGCGAACGGAGTCGCGGGCGATAGCTTGTTTTTATACATAATCACATAATCATAAAAAAAATCGTTATAAAGATACTGCAGAAGAAAGGAGATAAAGTTACTTTAAAGAAAAACTTAGATAATAGGCTACAATATGATAGTTGTAACTATGTTCAAATACTAAAAAAAATGTGCACAAAAAAAAACATTTTATTTAGTCCTAAAATTGTCTATATTCTTAAGCTTTCATGTTAATTGTAATTTTAATTCGACTTTCTTTTTTTTTAATTTTTTGCCTTTTTGTTCACTAGGACATTGTTTCACAGGTATAGACTCGAGTTCGATAGTCTTCGCTTTGACCCATTTCCTAAAATACACGACGTCAGTGTACATTGAGGGGAGTGTGTCCGAACCGCAGAAGATATCTCGCCCTGTCGATACTACTCCTACCAAGTACCTGAAAATATAAATGATTAAGCATACTCAATTTTTAAGTAAAATTGTTTGAAAACATTGATCCCTTCATAAGTTCGCTAGCGAAATTGAACGTGTAATAGTGGTAGAGCTCGATTTAACTCGCCCTGTGCAATAAGTCGACCAAACAAAAGACATGAGTGAAACAGTGGTAGTGCCCGCTTTAACATCTTAGCACGAATGGGCCGGCGCGCCCGGTGTAATACCACGACCACACAGAAGATAGGCGTGAAATGGAAGCAATACCGTGTTTCGTCTGATGAGAGTGGTGCCGGAGGCCTAATTTAAGTCCTTCTTTACCACCCTTTTCTTATAAGGAGAGGTTGGGAAGAGGAAGTGGATTTGGCGGTGGAGGAGATGCATAGGAAGGGGAAATATCCTCTTTATGTGCGTCTCCTCCTCCATCGTATACGGGTAGGCAACGCATCTGCAATTGCGGATGTCTATGGACAGCAGTCGCTTCGCCATTTTGGCGGTTTCAGGTGGCCGCTTGCTCATTTGCCACCTTATGTTATAAAAAAAAAAAATGGAAGTGATTCTGCTTTTCGTCTGATGTGCCGGTGGCCCAATTTTAGTAAACTTTCTCTTCCCACCCTTTTCTTATAAGGAAAGGATGAGAAGTGGATTTGTCGCAAAATGGGATGCATAGGAAGGGATATTCTCTTACTATGTGTCTCCATCTCCCCCACTTCGCTATTTTGACGAATTTGGATGGCCGCTGCCTAGCTTGTCACCTTATATCATAAAAAAAATCTGAGCGTTTCATTTGAAATTAATATTCCGTAGTTCTTATAGGCAACAAGTTTTTAAATGTTTATGTATCATAATTTTGTTTATGTATGTATGTATACTGTTTGCTTTTACCTCTTCCAAATAATTCCGGAGCCCGAGTCACCAAAGCAATCGCTGGTCCATCCTTGTCCGATCAAGCAAAACATGTGTTTCGGTACCTCCATAACCTCTCTAAAGGACTGACTTTCATTACATAATTTTGTTCTCACGTAGTACATTCGAGTTGCTTTGAGTTTCATGGACGGACTGACTGGATAAACATTCTGTATTTAATTAATAATTAACTTAATATTAGATTATCTTTGATGTTTTCAAAGTACCATATCATTTGATCAAAACTAGTAACGGTTTTACAGCTCTGAGCGAAATTTATACGGACCTATGTCGCCCTTTTCTGTCGAGCGCCCTGGGCGGTCGCCTTACCACGCCCTATTCTAAAGCCGCCCTGTTAATACTATGTCAATATTGTCCAGTATTCTATTTTTTCTTTTACTTACCGTAACAGCTCCAAATCCAGCTAAAGTGAAACTGTATTTTGCGTTTCTAAAATAACTATTTGGTGCTATTTCCACTTTTCTGACTGTAGGTCCAAATCGTATGTTACGTGACAACAAAAGCAATCCGATATCATAAAAATAAAAGTGTACTTCATCATCACCTCGATACCGCTCGTGTGTGACAATTTTGCACACGTTGTATTTTACACCTTGTGATAATATGTCGGATCCTGGAACAATACCAATGACAATTAATACCCTACAATATATTCATCTCGCAAAAACACTTTAAAAATAATAAAAACACACCCTTTAAGTCTTATCTTTATTTTTGGCAATGGAAAGCTATGGTAAGAATTTTTTACATTTCTAGTTAACAACAATAATTGTTGAAGTCCGATGCAGGACAAATTACTATAGGGATAAGTCCACGTTCATACAGTGAAGTCTGGCTACCATTAATCGCTGCCGCCATTCCGAAATCACGTGAAATAATTTATAAACATAGGCATACTATACCGAGATAAACTAAAACATCCTTTGCATCCAGTCTTTTCTCCATATGTTTTATGTATAAGCAGTGTGCGGCTGTTATTATGACACGATCACTGATGATTGAGCCACCGCAGATAGAATGAAGAAAGTCATGAAGAAAGTCAGGACCTGGGCCACGTGCGGGTACATCACTATTGGGACGGCCACTCCTCCCACCACATGACCTGAGAATCTAGTCCTACCTGTAAAAATTAAACTTTACTCTCGTAAGTCGAGTCAATCTCGCTGGAGAATGTGATAGATTATTAAAAATTTAGTCAACGTTTTTCAAAAGGTACCCATTCAGAATTTGAAGTAATAAATGTTCTATGGGTTTTTACGAACAAGTAATCAACACAATACTAGGTTACGTAAAGTTTAAATGTTCAACATAAACTTTTATTCATATAAAATATACTTTTGTTCGAGGAGAGAATAGTTGTGCAATTTGGGTCCGCGCCGCCGCTGTCCTTAATTGCCTTTCGTACCATCTGGATTCTTTTAAATATTTCTTTTATTTTATAATACGAACACTGGTAGGAAGCATTGCGAAATATAATTTGAATTGCGTACATTTTTATACAGTTAAAGACAAGATAGTTAATTTTTTTTATCGTATAAGATGAGACACAAGCAAGCGGAGCGCAAGAAGTTAAATAGCGGAATGATCGTTGTTCATAGACATCCACATGTGGATATAAATGGACAGAGAAGGGACGTTCAAAAAGAGGACTATTACGTCTTTCTGTGCAACCCCTCCCCTACCTAAATGACTACCGCTTTTCACCGTTACGTAAATAAGATAGTTCTTCTTGTAAATGAATTATTGAATATTTAAATATTATGAAAACATTTTTTACCTCCAACATATCGAAAATTATAAACTACGTTTAACGTAAGCAAAAGTAGCAACAGTTGTTTCATTAGTGCGAGCTCTTGATAGGTTTGCGAAAAAAGTTAATTTTTCGGATTATTCTTTTTAATTACAAAACATTCTTAACTGCCTGTTTCATCTAAATAACAACACACCATAGTTTTACTAGGTATTTTTTACCTTTTTAATTGAATTTATCAAGCTTTGTAGATTATAATTAGTATTTTAATGAAAAGAATGGTATAAATAAAAATAGTGTACTTATTTGTTTTTAATTGTAATATTTTCCCGTAGTAACATAATTGGGTAGGCAACATGTACCGTTTTTGTTGTTACGTTTTTTGTTTCCGTGGAAGTTTGTTGTAAATTGGATGGCTCTCGCTTGCTGCTTTTGTTGCTGCTTTAACGAAGACCAGCTATTGTTTTGTACAACTTCAACAATTTGCAATTCAATGAGGATCGTTGCTTCTCGACGACTAATTAATTGCTCGTGCATTGTCTATACTTTTGTTGTCTTCACAAAGGAAATCCTATTGAGGAGCTCCTTGACAAATACTTCAGCAACTTTGATTCTTAACATTTCAATGTTCTATTATATCCTGTATTTTTATGGACTGTGAAATTAAATAACGATTTTAATGAAAAGAGGATCACAAAAAGACTTTTAAATAGAGTAGAAACGTTCCTGAAAGTACATTTGGTTTAAATTTCCCTTAATCTATTTCAGCTTTGGCTTGAAATGTACATTTGAGAATATCGAGGCAGTGGCGACGGAGGTGGAGGGGCTTATAGCGATGAATATTTATCCCTGGGAAGCTGTATTTATAACTTGTCTTGGAAAAGAAGAATAAATAAATAGTTTTATAATCATTCCTGAAGAAATTAATTCGAAAGGAACTAAATACGGTGAGTACACAGAACGTTATTCAACTAGAAAAGTAAACAGGATCTCTCGTAACGTTTAATAAAAGCAAGAAAATACGCGACAAAAGTCGCAATGTTTTCCCTCCGGGTATTCGACATGTCGTAACGTAATTTGTATCCGTCATAGTTGTCCCGTCATCAATTGCAATGCCAGTGCGGACGAAAACCGGCAAATTGGAAAAGCCAACACACGCTTCGATCATATTACTTTGCACTTGCTGTTTTGTATTATCAGCAGAAATGATTTATTAAAAGAAAACAAAGACCAATAGTATTTGTTAATTGTTAATCGTAAATGTGTTTTTTTTTAAGAGGAGGCAAACGAGCGACAGGAACACAAAAGTGTTCCCATAGACATCCGCAATACCAGAGGAACTACAGATGCGTTGACAGCCTTTGAGGAAATTGTAGACTTGCTTCTTGAAGTACCCTAAGTCGTACTGGTTTGGAAATACGTGTGTAATCGTGTTTAAAGCAATGCCCTTAAAAATAAATTAAAAGCCCACGAACCTGATTGACGCAATCTCTTCCAATACTTCACGGTGCGACAGTTTGACAGCCTCTCGACAAAGTGATAAAGAGAGGAACGTATGTCCGAATGAATATCCGTTCAGACGGGCTTCATTCGTCTGATCGCTGCAATATCCGAGACACTTTAATTCGAATGATCGCATCGATAGAAGGTCATGGAGAGAGCTTAAAGTGATTAAGTGAGAACGTTGATTAAACATTCGCCTCATTGCAATTTTTCCTTGTTAGTTATCTTTTGTTTTTACGAATTTCCTAATAGTAATTCTGGTGCTAAACACAAAAAGTATCTAATAATTCTGCTTTGCCTAATCTTTATCGGTACTAATTTTATAAAGAGGAAAGATTTGTATTTTTGTATGTATTGTAATAACTAAAAATACTGGGCCGATTTTAAAAATCCTTTCACCGTTAAAAAGGTAATTTATCTGTGAGTAACATACGCCATTTTGTTTTATTTTTTATTTCAAGCGGACAAAGTCGCGAGCAACAGCTAGTATATAAAGATAATACTCGAAAAAACAGCTCACTTTACTTAAAATGGTTCTTCAAAATGACAACAATAACTATTTTAGTCAGGTCAATAACTTTAAAAAATCGAGGTATGTTACATAAGAAACGTAACACAAAAATAAAAAAGTATACTACGTTGTTGACATTTGCGAAGAGCAGAGGCCGGAGAGCTCAGATAAATTGAGTTTACGTCGTGCGATGCACTGATCTGTAAACGTAACCAGCTAATGATATTTTGCATCACCGTGTACATGATGTTACTACTCGTATATAGTGCCTTTTGCTAACCCTGTATGCAGTAGCTATCGCCGAATGTTAATATAATATTATCTAGTCTATATCAGCATTGATTTAACGTCAAAAATGGCCGAATATAAACAGATCTTAAACACTCCGTAAAATCTGATCATAAGGTGACATTAATTGAATGAAATGTGGAGGTTTAGTATAGCATTGTTATTCTAGACGCTATTGGATTATTTAAATATCGCTTTAGTATTAAAGTGGTATTTGTCATCCTAAGTCTTTAGGTATTGATAGATTTTTAATGAATTTTTATTAACATTTATTTTTTCAAAACTCTAAGAATGTAATACAAATTGTATTTTTAAGGTTGTATGCTGAGAATTTATAGTGACAGCAAAGGTAATTGCGTTCGGTATGCGGTATGCCGATATTTAAACGTGATATCCTCTGGGAAAATTCCGATACCGGCTTACGTTACAGCCAGCAACGCTTCTCTAAAGTTACAAGACTATTTTATGTTAACTTTTGTATTTAAAAATATCTTGGAAAAGAATTTATAACTGACGTTAAGTGACTTTTAACAAATTGACGTTAAGAGCGCTTGTACGGCTTTGACTAAGCTATAGCACTACCGTATAATCGCTCTTTGATTCCTATGAGATTACATGGAAGTGTGCACGCTACTCGATTTTTAATTGTGAAACTAAACAGTTGAATGGGCTGCGAAACAACCGACAATCGTACAACTGTTGTGTAATAGTTTTGTCAAGGTTGTGCGCCCGCCCTAACATTACTTTTTTCTTGAAAAAAGATAAAGGAACAAATATAAAATTATGAACATTAAGAACAAGTACTGTATCCACTTTTTTGATATAAGTGATTATAAAGCAAGTATAGTTCACTTCCAACTAACAATTTTAACTGAAAAGTTCGACACTTACAGTTAAAACTCTCTTGACCGAACTACGAGATTTATCGAGTTTGATGTTGATTTCGAAACATCGAGTAAAAAAGAAAAAATATGAGGTTGACGTGAGGGTAAGCTTTTAGCCTGTAGCAACCGTCGAGAAATAAAAGCAAATATTTTGTCCGTAGATAGCTTATACTATAAACATTTACCGATTTTTCCATGACTCGCTTTTAAAGTTTGACTTCGATTTCGCTTATCCGATACCGGTAATAAGATCTGCGAGGGCTTAAACCGTTTTCCGTAGATTATATCGATTTGCATTAGGATATTGGATAAAAATATTTCAACCGATGCAGGTACAATATGCATTAGTATATAAATAAATATGGTGTACACGAGTATACAGATAGGCTATTTACTAAGTTATTTTAAATTCCGCACGGTAGGAGTCGCGGGCGATAGCTAGTATATTATAATAGTTATTATTGACATATTTGTTTGCTTTATAAGGGGTAATTTTAAATATTGTTTTTAGAAAACTAGTAACTTTGCTATACCCATTTCCAGAGCTTAAAAGTAAATGGGAGGCTTCCGACGTGCATTCCATTTTATGAATACAAATGTTACGTTCAGCTCCTGCAGCCTCTATTCAAGTGAACCATATACGTTAAGCCTCTTAACTTGAACAAGCTTATTTATAAATCGTATGCGATATCACAACATATAACCCGACTCCTGTATTTCAATAAAATATCGTATCTTTATATTTTACTAGCTGTTTCCACGAGCTTACATGCGCATGAAATTAAAAAAAAACTTTATTTCATTGGTTACATTTGTAAAAGTTTCAATTGCAAATGTTAAAATTCAATTCATAAAATGACAACAAAGGTCTACTATGCTATTGGCTAAGAATTACTATTGTAATTTTGCTTCTTCACTGCAATTTTTGTTAAGTAGCAGTAGTTTTTGTTCCTTTCTTCAAATATTTACATTTATAGTTTTGTAAAATCATGTCACAAAATTTTACTTGAAATGTTTTTTTTTTATAATACAAGGTGGAAAACAAGCAAGCGGCCACCTAAATCCACCGAAATGGAAAGCGAGCGCTG